GGACTGGTCTCTTTTAGGATGGACTTGTTGCATCTCCTTGAAGTCCAAGGAACTCTCAAGAGACTTCTCCAACACCACAGTTCAAAAACATCAATCTTCTGTGCTCAGCTTTCTTTATAGTCCAACTCTCATGTCCATACACTACTACTGGAAAAACCATAGCCTTGACTAGACAGACCTTTGTTGGCAAAGTAATGTCTCTGCTTTTTAATATGCTATCTAGGTTGGTCATAACTTTCCTTCCAAGGCATAAGCATCTTTTAATTTCATGGTTGCAATCACCATCCGCAGTGATTTTGGAGCCAAGAAAAATAAAGTCAGCCACTGTTTCCACTGTTTCCCCATCTATTTGCCATGAAATGATGGGACCAGATGCCATGATCTTAGTTTTCTGAATGTTGAACTCTAAGCCAACTTTTTCACTCTCCTCTTTCACGTTCATCAAGAGGCTCTTTAGTTCTTCTTCACTTTCTGCCATAAGGGTGGTGCCATCTGCATATCTGAGTTTATTGATATTCTCCTGGCAATCTTGATTCCAGCTTGTGCTTCTTCCAGCCCAGGGTTTCTCATGATGTACTCTGCATATAAGTTAAATAAGCAGGGTGACAATATACAGCTTTGACATATTCCTTTTCCTATTTGGAACCAGTCTGTTATTCCATGTCCAGTTCTAATTGTTGCTTCCTGACCTGCATACAAGTTTCTCAAGAGGCAAGTCAGATGGTCTGGTATTCCCATCTCTTTAAGAATTTTCCAGTTTATTGTTATCCACACAGTCAAAGGCTTTGGCATAGTCAAAGGCTTTTGACATTTCATGCAAAGATCAGCTCAATAAAGGACAGAAATGGTATGGACCTATCAACAATATTTACTAAAATAAGAAATAATAACCAACTTCAGAAATTTAGAACTGAATACTGTTAAAGTCCGTGGGGTCGCAAAGAGTCAGACACAACTGAGCGACTGAACTGAGCAGCTAAAGTATTTAAACTAAGAAGGTATTAGACTGAGGGGGCTCTAAAGTTTTAGTAGACTGTACACAAAACAAAACCCAAATCTGAGAATACAAAGATCAGAAAATGAGACATAAGAAAAAACAATCACAAACAACTAACTCGACTTTCTCCAGGAAGGCAACAGCTTACTATGTAACCAATGAAATATTTTTTTTGTTTTGTTGTGATTCCACATCTTCTCTATAAAAATTTGTCCCCTAGCTCCTAATCCCTGGAGTGTTCCTAGCTATTTTCAGTTTGGAGCTGCCTGATTCAAATTGAACTGTGCTTAAAGAAAAACTTGAAAATTCCCATCTGCCAAAGTTCATTTATTAGCAATATATATGTAATGGTAAGGTCTGAGTGGTTTTCTTACAAGATGAAAACTCTTTTTAGAATGATCACTTTCATTATTAGATCCTGGACTTCAAGGTTTACTGTTGATACACTGACATTTATTTAACTCTTTTGTTTATATTGAGCCCTGTGATTGAAGCAGAACTCCCATTTTCTTTCCTTTTAGGGGAGATTCTCTTCAACCACGGAGAGAAGCGACCACACGGTGGCTGAGTCCATCGTTGTTGGCTTCACAGCAGAAGCCAGGACGACACTGGTCCTGTTTGTGGAGTTCCGTGGTGTCCACTCTGTGCTGTGCTCCGCGACCCTCCTGGTGCTGATCTCCAGTGACCCTCAACTGCACACACCCAAGTATTTTCCCTTGGGAATCTGTCTTTTCTGGATTTCTGTTATTCCTTTGTGTACACACCAAAGGTCCTAGTGACCTGCATCTCTGAAGACAAGAGCATCTCCTTCACTGGCTGTGTAGTCCAGTCTTCTTCTCTGTGGGGCTGGGATACAGTGAGTGTTATCTGCTGGCTGCCATGGGTTTTGACTGCGAGGTGCCTATTTCCAATCACCTGCTCTCTGCTCAGGTCATGTCAAGGAGACTGTGCATCTGTTTGTCTGTATATTCCTATACTGGGGGTTTTGTCAATGCAATAATAAGCTCCAGTAACACACTCAAATTGAATTTTTGTGGTGACAGTGCTATTGATGACTTTTTCTGTGATGTCCCTGGTGAAGTTGGCATGTGATGTGAAAGAGTCCTACCAGGATATACTGTACTTCCTCCTGACCTCCAATGTGATCATCCCCACTGTGCTCATAATTGCATCCTACCTCTTCATCATCACCACTATCTTGAGGATCCGCTCCACCCAGGGCCCCCTCAAGGCCTTCTCCACCTGCTCCTCCCCTCACCCCGATCTCTGTTACCTTGTACTATGGCTCTCTTCTCGACATCTACTCCTCCCATCCAACTTCCAGCTATCCCTCTGAGAGGGACAAGATAGTGTCTATATTTTACACCATGGTGTTCCCCATGCTGAACCCCATGATCTATAGTCTGAGTAATACAGATGTGAAAGAAACTCTGAAAAAACCCTTCATATTAACATAATCCAAAGTCTAAATTGACAAGAACTTCTCAAATCAGTGCTCAGTGATAACAGACTTCTTCAAGGGAGGCTTGGGTCGAAGAATTAAAGAATACTAGGTTGAGAAGATATTGTTTTGCTTTAGTCATCATATTATAATCTATACTCTAAAACATAGGTTCAATTTAATATTACTATAATTTTAAAAGTAGCATTCATAATTAATGCAAAATAAAAGTGTGCATATTTTGTCTGGAATTCAAAAGACTTGAATTTTACTTTACTAACCCCCCCAATTTGACCCAATTTATTTTCTTTGCCTAATGGGATTTATCAGAATATGAAGAAATTGTCTTATTGATTCTGGGGGGTTTAAGGAAAAAAAAAAAAAAAACCAAAAAACTTACTTCTCATCACATACTTAGAGCTTCTGTGGAAATAAAAGCATAAGCAATGTTAGCATTGCGATGAAAACAGAATGGCCAGTGGCTTGTTACTTAAAGAATGTATATGGAAAAGAAAGAGCAGATGCATCAGAGGTAGTACAGTGAAGTGGCTGCAACTATTTCCTTTAAGTTTTTAATTTAAATGTGTTTTTCAATGTCTGTACTACAGCAGTAGCTAAAATCTTTCAATAGCAAAGTTCTAACTTATGAGATTCAGGCTGCTCATTCATGATATGTGACTAATAATCCTTAATTTGCAGGGTTGTAAAGAGTATTAAAAAATGCCAACTGACCCTGCCATGCACTGAAAATGGAACTTTAAGTTTCTTTGTACTTAATATCTTCTGGCGGGATAAAGGCCTTGGGTCTAGAACACAATGGGGCTTATTTATTGGCTTTTCAGTTTCCGTTTGTTCTCCTTGCTATTTTCCTTCAGGGGACATGTGGTGGTCCACAGTGGGAGAGTAGGGAAGTGAAAATGTTCGGTACTCAGCTGTGTCCCAGTCTTTGTGATCCCATGGAAGGTAGTCCACCAGTCTTCTCTGTCCATGGAATTCTCCAGGCAAGAATACTGGAGTGGATAACCATCCCCTAGCTGCTAAAGAGGAGAAGGTGATGGCACCCCACTCCAGTGCTCTTGCCTGGAGAATCCCATGGACGGAGGAGCCTGGTGGGCTGCAGTCCATGGGGTCGCGAAGAGTTGGACACAACTGAGTGACTTCACTTTCATTTTTCACTTTCATCAATCCCCTGGAGAAGGGAAAGACTGCCCACTCCAGTGTTCTGGCCTAGAGAATTCTGTAGACCATGGAGTCACAAAGAGTCAGACACGACTGAGTGACTTTCACTTTCACTTTCTCCAGGGGATTGACCAACCCAGGGATTGAACCCGAGTCTTCTACATTGCAGGTATATTCTTTACTGTCTGAACCACCAGGGAAACTGATGGTAGGCTTTTGTCTGTAAGAGTTTGCTCTCTCTCAGGATTATACACAATCTAAAAGACACATATTTCTAATGATTTGAAAAGATGTTTGTTTGTTTTCAGTTTAAAAGTGATGAAACAGTTGGCTAATAGTAAATTGACACCAGTTTTACAAAGACACAAACTGATGAAAATATTTTCCATGTACTCATCTAGAGTTCTATGAATAAATATGGAAGGAATTACTTGCTAAAAGCTATATGTGTATAAAATCTTGTGTAATTTATAAAAATTTAGCCACCCAAAATCTTTCCTCATAAAATGAAGTTCACTGACTAGTATTCAAAGTCAAACTATGTGCACAAAGCCCATTGAACTACTTTTCTCTGTAAGACCTCCAAAAGATAAGCAAGTAGAGAGATTTTATGAAAATCTAGTACTTAAGATGGATAATACAGTATTTTAAAATGTCAAACAATCTAGTATTATATGTATATAACAATTTAATCACAACAAAAGAGCATTAAAAAAGAAAAATGATTTGATTAATGTTTCATCTTTTAAGTATAACATCTTGTATTTACCTGAAATATGGCAATGTTTCCAAACATGTTTATAAACCAATAACTTGGAAAATGCAATGAGAGCTTTCTGCAAAATATATAAAATATATATAACTTTCATCTCTGTGGCCTTATGGTCTGTGTTGCTTTCCAGAAGGCCTCTTTGATGTCTTTGTTTCTCAAGCTATAGATGAGAGGGTTGAAAAGTGGGTTGATCACAGTGTAGAACAGGGCAGCCACTTTGTCTCTCTTCAGGGAGTAGGTGGAACTTGGCCTTGAGTACATGAAGAGCAGGGATCCGTAGAAAAGCATGACCGAGACCAGGTGTGAAGCACAGGTGGAGAAGGCCTTGCGCCTTCCTGAAGCTGTGCGGATCCTCAGAATAGCCAGAAGGATATTGAAATAGGAAATTATGATGACAAGAATGCTGGAGAGGACGGTGAAACCCACAACACCCAGGAGGACCTGCTCATAGACCTTGGTGTCTGTACATGACATCTTTACCAGTGGTGGTGCATCACAGAAGAAGTGGTCAATGATATTTTTGCCACAGAAACTCAGGCGAAAGGTGTTGGCAGTATGAGCGATGGCATTCAAGAACCCTCCTATGTAGGAGCCAGCAACGAGTCCGGTACAGAGAGAAGGGGACATAGAACTTGAGTAAAGTAGTGGGTTACAGATTGCCATGTGGCGGTCATAGGCCATGACAGCTAGAAGATAGCACTCAGTGTAGGCTACAACACAGGAAAAGAACAGCTGGGCCCCACATCCAGCCAGTGACATACGCTTATCTTCTGAGATACACGTAGCCAGGATTCTGGGAGTGTACACAGAGGTGTACCAGAAATCCAAGAAAGAGAGATTGCCAATGAAAAAATACATAGGTGTGTGCAGGTGGGAATCAATACGAATTAAGATAACCAGGGTCATGTTACCAGACAAGGTGATCAAATAGAGCATGAGAAATATTCCAAAAAGAATCAACTGCCACTTGGGGTCTGATGAGAGGCCCAATAAGATGAATTCAGTCAGGATGGTGTGATTTCCAATTTCCATGTCCACTAGGAGAAAGCTTGATAACATAATGAGATAAATAAGATAGTGATTTTTCTTTTGAAAGAAATAAGTAGGGTATCAATTAAGTCAGCAACTACTAGGAGGCATATTAAATCCTTATTATGTAGATAAAATACATAGTTCAGTCTGTGACATGGTAAGACCACTAAATTGGAGAAAACATCTGCTTTTAAAATTAAGACTTTCCCTTACTAATTGTTTAACGTAGAACTAGCAATTTGGTCTCATCAAACAGTTCAGCAAAATATGACCCCAACAGGTTGTCTGGTTGAGTTAAGCAGATATACAGGGAAACATCCAACCAAATGTCTGGTACATGATGAGTGCTCAAAAAATATGAGTATTCTGTGTGTATTATTGAACATTTGTGTGTCAGGAATCATGCAGATATTTCTACAAATATCAGTACACTGTAATGTTCCTGCCACTATTAATACAATAGAAATATTTACATATTTCTTTCTATATATTTTTGCTTAGCTGCTCAGTTGTGTCCAACCCTTGCGACCCCATTGATGTACGTAACCCGCCAGGCTCCTCTGCCCATGGGGTTTCCCAGGCAAGAATTCTGGAGTGGGTTGCCATTTCCTTCTCCAGGGTATCTTCCTGACCCAGGAATTGAATCCAGGTCTCCTGTATTGCAGGCAGACTCTTTACTGACTGAGCTATGAGGGAAGCCTCATATATACCTATATTCCACTATGTTCAGATAGTATCCTAAATCCATACTTAATCTGCTTAATCCATTTCACAATTTACAAGGTATTATTTTAATCATCAACTTCCCAGGTGGCTCAGTGGTAAAGAATTCATCTACAATGCAGGAGACATGAGTTCATTCCCTAAGTTGGGAAGATTCCTTACAGAAAAAAACTGGCAACCCACTCAGTATTCTTGCCTGGGAAACCCCATGGGCAGAGGAGCCTGGGAAGTTACTGATCATGGGGTCACAAAAGAGTCAGATATGACTTAACAGTTAGTAACAGCAGCAATAAAATTATAATCCTTGTGTGTTAGTAGTTGAAGAAACATTTCCAATGCCCTATAGGACTGATCAACAGTAGAGCTGGTATTTGAGCCTAGAGTTTCCTTTATCAAGAACACAAGTTCTCAGCTGTTAAGCCATTGACCTCTCTTAAAAATAGGTAAGTGCATTTTTGTCTTGTTCCCCTATAATCCTTGGACAACCTGAATTTCTTTACCTACAAAGTGAGATTTAAAAGCTATTTTTAATAATGTTTTTATTCTGCACTTTCCTATAGTTTATGTGAGATTTATACACATAGTTAAACATTTTTGGATTCAGAGAACTTTGAATATTAGAAAGAACCAACTTTTTGATGTCACGGTGACATTGAGAAATCATGAATCCTTCCAGCTTTGTATCTTGAACTTTCAGAGCTCTCAAAGAGAAGCCACAAGAAGGTATCTAATGCAAGCTAAAAGAAGGTACCTAATGTAAACTCTATAGAATGAGTGCTCATGCTCCAAGAGCTAGTTTACTTCCCTCTCAAGTATAGAGGCAGTGAAATAAAGCCAGAGCTAAGAAACTGTGATTTACTTTAATATTAAAACATTCATCTTTGATTTAAGCCAGAGACAATGCTATACCTAGAATGCAAATCTAAGTTTTCTACCTCAGGGTCTGTTGGTTTGGTTCCACTTGTTACTTGTGAGGTAGCTCAATCTTTCCAAGATAAGGTATCCTAAACTTTCAAATGTATTGATACATGATGTGTTCAGAGAGGATGCGACTTCATTAATAAGACATTGGTGAAAGCAACTTTGGAGTCCTGAAGACCATTCCATTTCTTTTCAGTATATACTGGATTTCTTCTCATTAACACACCAAGCACAGACACTTTAGTCTTATACTCAGGTTCTATAAACTGACTTTAACTTAAGCTTTTATAAACCTCCCTCTCACTTCTTGTCTTTATCTACTAGAACATCAACCAAAGTATATTACTCACATGACTGATCCCCACACATCGTGGGGGCTTCACAGTTACAGTGCTGTTGTTATTCATTTTTACAATATGACTTCTTTCTGAATATGCTCAAACTTGGTAGAATTATCTCTGGTGGAGTTTTTCAGTATTATAGTGTTAACACATAAAATGGTGCATTATAGGTACTTCACTTGTGGTCTGGTGGTTAGACTCTGCTCGCCCAATGCAGGGGACCAATGTTCAGTGCCTGGTCCAGGCCTTGTGACCATAAATTAATTTTCTACATTCATGACTCTACTACTTTTCTGTAAATAAGTTCATTTGCACCTTTATTTTATATTCTGCATATAAACAGTATATGGTATTTGTCTTTGTCTGACATAATTGTCTGACATAATTGTCATTCAGTATCACAATCTCTAGGTCCATCCATGTTGCTCCTAAAGGCATCATTTTGTTCTTTTTTGATGGCTGAGTAATATTCCATATGTAACACCATAAACATAAAGCTAATTTTTAACACAATATAAATTTAGGAAAAAACTAAAATATCTGGACAGAACCAGTTATTACTCTTGTACAAGTGCCCTCTAAAGAGATAACTGGAAAAAATAAACAACTGTTGTGGTCTAAGCTCAAAATATTCTCAGAAGTAGAGATATTTAAAAGACCCCCCAAAAATGAGTTCAATGCTAGCCCATTGTCAGGGGTAATGAGAGCAGGAGAGGATAGCCATGAGAAGAAAGAACATATATCAGATTCTTAACATGACAGGGAATCTGGTAAGCCAAGAAACAGAGTGATTGACTTAAGATTGGGTGGACAGAGGAACTAGGAATGAGCCATATAAGTTATCAGCTCACTAAGCTTGTCGGAAGCCATCTTAGGGACTTCCCTCTTGAAACTGAAACAACTGGAAATATTGCCATCCTGAGGGAGTAACACCATCAGGTTTGCATTTTCAAGCTTTACTCTGGCTGCAGATCAGACAATGGATTGAAACTCCTCTTAAATGGAGTTTCTCTGAAATCCTTGGTCCTCTATTACCTCTTCTGTTAAGTCTTCTGATAAAGGCAGGAAAGAGACATTCACAAATTGATAGGGACTGTATAAACTGGGGACTTATGTTAATAAGCAAGACTCAAAGACTCTCAGTCTCAATATATCTTCTTACCAGGAAGGTGTATTTATACAACGATTTAATCTCCAAAGACTAAGAAAGTCTTAAAGACAAGATCCATTCAAAGTATTAACTGGTAATGAAAGCATCCCTTCTGTATTTTTTTTTTCTCTAGAAATTACAAGAATCTGGAAAATGTGAATTAATAAATTTGGTGAAAACTTTAGAACATTCTATAACAAGATGGAACCTCATAGTCACACTGAATTCTCTGTGAAACATAATTGCATCACAAATGAATCACATTATACTTTGTACTAAATCTCTAATGTTTAAAAGATAAAGAGGGTTTAGGACTCGGTGCATCAACTTCAGGGTGTACTAGTTAAAAAATAGAAACAGTTTTTAAAATTAAAAAAATAAGGGAAAAAAGTAAACTAAACACAAAGCAATGATCTCTGCGATATACACACTTAAATGGCCACAGTACTTGACTGATTTCATGATGGCTAGAGTAGATCTGTTATTACATCCTGTGATCTGGCATCATCTTGGGGTTTGTTCTGACAGTTTGCCACATTGGCAGCACCATGCAGAGGCCAAGCCTGGATCTCAAGAAATGTCGCATGTTTCTCTTCTTGCTTTTGGAAGTCTGACACCACCAAGTAAACAAGCCTGTTGGTTTTCTGAATAATGAGACATGTGGCTACATTCTCTTTGTGACGCCAGCTGACAGCAAGTTGGGCCCAAGACATGTGAGTGGATCCACATGTGAGAGGTTAAAAATTCTGCAACTGAAAAATTTCTAAGTTTCTTTCTAATACTGACATTCTATAATTATAAGAGATGAGTAATAAATAATTTGAAATTCATGTATTTGATGATGAATGCCTAGTTTCACCCTCCAAAACTGATCTATCTGCTCATTTCCCCTAGAACCTACTTGTCAATGCAGAAGACATAAGAGACACAGGTTCGATTCCTGGGTTGGGAAGATCCCCTGGAGGAGAGCATGGCAACCCACTTCAGTATTCTTGCCAGGAGAATCCCCGTAGACAGAGAAGCCTGACGGGCTACAGTCCATAGGGTCCAAAGAGTTAGACACGACTCAAGCAACTTAGCATGCATTCATGCACACATTAGGAATCAACCTACTCTGTTTCTCTCCTGTCTTCTCCTCAAACTTCCAAGGAATTCTGGTGTCCCTGCCTTCAAAACATATCCTGAAAGGACTTCCCTGGCAGTCCAGGGGTGAAGACTCTGTGATTCCAATGCAGGGGCCATGGGTTCAATCTGTGGTCGGGGAACTAAGATCCCACATGCCCTATGGTGTGGGGGAAAAAGAAAACAAAGTTTATCCAGAGTCAGAGCACTTGTCACCACCTCCACTGGTATCATCGTGATCCAAACAGCCACCATTTATGCCATGAATATTGAAAAATCCTTCCAACTGCTCTACATACTTCTTCCTCTATAGCCTGTTTTCCAAGAATCATTTAGTATTGTTCTTTCCAAAAAAAAAAAAAAAAGGGAGGGGGCAAGCCATGTCACCCTTGTTTAAAAAAAAACTCTATAATGTGTTCCAATATATTTTAAGTTGCAGTGAAATTCCACAGAGTGGCCCTAATATCCTCTGTGAGCAGACCCTCTGGTCCCTACAGAGCCTTATTTTCTAAGACTCACTCCTCTATTTCTGGTCCAGCCTTGTAGATTTCCTAATTGTTCTCAAGAACATCAGCCCTGTCCCAAAACAAAGATTATTTTGTGTTGAGAATCTGGGTTTCCTGTCTGTTTCCTGTGTGAACTGGAAAACTGTCTGTTTCCTACGTGAACAGTATTCCCCAGATATTATCAAGACTCATACTCTCAGCTCCTTTCAGTCCCAACCAATTGACATTTTCTGCCTT